AAAAGCATGCACCTGGCCTTGTACTTAATCATGAACTTGGCTCCTGAGAGCAATGACACTAGTTACTTGTCTTCCATTTCCCTCCTCACTCCCCCATCCCACCCTCTTGTTGTTGGGGGAAGCCTTTGTCCAACATCTTTTGTTTAAGAGGATTAATTGCCAGCTCCCAGTCCTGTCAGTTTCTTTCAGGGAACTTCATGCAAATAAGGCTCCAGGTGGCCTGCCCTGATTTCCCAGAGTTCCCCCAGAGTAACACTCTATTAGGACATTCACCACAAATAACATTGAGCCTTCTAAAGGCTCAGAGAAGTTACTGGACTTGCACAAAAGTACTCACTTAATAACAGAGCTGACCCTGTTCACTGTTTTGCTATGATTCACTGCATCACCATACAAAATGGTTTTTTCTCCTTAAGGATTTTTCTTCTCAGTATTATTTCTATTAACACAGTGCCCCCTTTTTAGGAAACAACTAGCATCCTGAGTAAGAGGCCTAGCCAGTCTTTAAATTTGAGTTCATCTATCCATTCATTCCTCCCTCCACACATAGTTCCTGAGTACCTACTTAGGGTATTCGGCTACCAGTAGAGGATTTGAGGTTGAACAAGACCAACATTGTCCTTACTCTCACAGAGCTTACAGTCTAGCAGAGAAGGAAATCAAAATAATTTTCAAGGCCAAGAGCTAAGGCAGGGTAGGAAAAGGTTCTCAGAGGGAGTTCCTGCTAAGAAGAGACGAAAAGGATGGGAAGAATTAGCTAAATAAAGGGGGGGAGGGGCACCTGGGTAGCTCAGTGGTTAAGTGTCTGCCTTTGGCTCAGGTCCTGACTCGGAGGTCCTGGGATTGAGTCCCGCATCACGCTCCCTGAGGAGAACCTACTTCTCCCTCTGCCTATGTCTCTGCCTCCGTGTCTGTGTCTATCATGAATAAATAAAATCTTTAAAAAATAATAAAATAAAGGGTTGGGGCGAGAGAGCTGATAAAATGACATATGAAATACTTTGCAAACTCTGTGCCAGGAAATCCGTGAAAGATTGTGTGGTTATTAATCACATATCCCTCCATAGCTCTTCAATCTTTGTCTCAAGTCTTCCTTCCACCAAGCTCCTTATCTCTGCTCCCTTCTCAGAATGACCTATGCTTTATTCTGTGTAACTCTCAGCTTATGGATGCTTATTATATTGTTAAGTTATGAGTACACTTTTGGGCTTGTGCTGGAGACAAGAGCCTTTCTGGATGCAAGAATGACCTGATTATTGTCTTTATTGCCTGGAAAGAGACCTCTCAGACCAGATCCTGGAGCTGAGACAAATGCAAGGGGTGGGAGGGAAATGCAAGGGGGTTTACAGAGTAGGATTTGGTTTTTCTTGGTCTTGATTCTGAAAGAAGAAATATGCTAAGAAGTCAAGCAAGGGGTTGTAATAGTGTTTTTCACATTTTTTTAAATTGAGACTCATAGTAAGAAATACATTAGCATAGCAACTCAGAAAGCACACACATCATTACTAAAACAAGTTTCCCCAAATTTATGCTTTGGGAAAAATCATCCTTATCACATGTTATACAATCTGATCTTTCATATTTTGGATTTTGATTAGTGTTTCTCAGGGTGGCCATCTATTAATAGTTACAAAATCAACTCAGTGGGTTATGATGAGCACCTTAAACAATTAAATAGAAGCATCCATGCAAAGACAGGGTGGGGAATAGTGAAAAAGATACCCATGGAATCAGTCTTTTGGAGCTAGAATTTAGGTATCTTGGACTTCCTGAGTCTGTCTTTCTTACATTGTCATATGAAACTTCATACAGATCGGTGATTATGGCTGTGGAATCTGGAGCATGGATTCGAACCTTAACTTTGCTTCTTAGACACTGTGTGACATGAGATACTTGACTTAGCACCAGGTACCCTGCTTGCCTTGTGTGTCTGATAGAGATAATGGCAGTGTTTATCTCATCCAGCTGCAAGGATTAAATGAGATAATGCAGGGATGAGTACATATAAACACTCAATAGACAGTAACCATTGTATTTCCACCATTTATTTGTCCCTAGTAGTAGAGTTCAGTTTTTTTCTCAGTTTGCAGTGTAGGACCAAAGGAAGGAAGAGTTAGGGCGCAGAGTGCTCAGGGGGCTAGCTTGCTAGTGGCAGCAGATAACAAAGTGAAAGGATCACCGGTGGAAACCAAAACCCCAATGGCCAGAGTGGAGGCCCTTGGTCCTTCTGTGCTAACCATGGAATGTCTGGGGTTTTATTTTCTTAAAGCAAGAAGTTCTTAGAGTTCCTCTCTCTAATGTCAACACATGTTTGACCCTAGCTCCTGGTTACTTATTTAGATTCCAGTTTGGCATAGGAACTTGACTGAATCTGAACGCGTAAATGTGTATATCCCCACAAATTTTTCCTTGACATTCCCTGTGGTTCCTCTTTGTTTGGGTACCCTTTCCACTTGTCAATCTTTTCCTGGCCACATTACTTCTTTCCTACATCTATACTAAGTTTTTGTTCTTGTTTTAAATCTTGGGGGTACCAAGAAAAGAAAACTGAATAATGAGATGGGAAAAAAAGAATGCACCCTGTCAAACCGTCTTGTAGAAGCATAACTATTCAATGTTACAAACATTTAATAATTTGATGTATACTTCTTAATGATTTCCACTCCAAAAAATGAGAGACGACACTTGCTTGTAAAAACAGTCCCATAGATATATCTAGAATCTCAAAGAGAATTCCCGTGTTTGGCATGATACACATAAAACATTTTATACATATGTCAACAACGAAATGTAAAATTCAAACTTTTCTAAAAGTCGTTTCACAAAGAAAAATATCAGTATCATTTTATTTTTTTCAGTGTCATTTTAAAGATAAGTAGCCCTTTTAAAAAGCGCTAATTTTTCTAGAACTCTGCTCCACAGAAAAAATACTTTACTGTTAAAACGATCATTTTCAGACCTTACATTTACATTCCTTACATCATTGGACGATTAAGATCTTGTATAAAATCCTATTAACATAAATGTGCGGATAGCATCCAAACCGGAAACTTTTCAGAACTTTAGATTTTTCCCGAGTAACATATTTATTTGTAACCAGATTAGATGTCAGGAGTTCAAGACTAATGTTCTCCTGTAATCATTTTTTCCTATGAAAACACTACAGTATTTTCTTTTCTTTTAAATATATTATTTTAATTTTGTTTTTTTTTTTTAATTTATTTATGATAGTCACAGAGAGAGAGAGAGAGAGAGAGAGGCAGAGACACAGGCAGAGGGAGAAGCAGGCTCCATGCGCCGGGAGCCCGACGTGGGATTCGATCCCGGGTCTCCAGGATCGCGCCCTGGGCCAAAGGCAGGCGCCGAACCGCTGCGCCACCCGGGGATCCCAATACTACAGTATTTTCGACGAGGGTGTAAGTCCATTGTCTCAGGTTCTATATACGCTGGAGCCGCTGGGCAAAATCCCAAGGCCGATCTAGCCATTGGTCGGGATTCCAGCCGCATCTTCAGGGTTTCCTCCTGAGGGCCTATTTCCAAGGTCTGCTTTTCCTATTATTCTTCCCCCAAGACTGCTCTGCGTGAGCCACTCTTTACCATAACGTCTATTTCTTCCCCTGCTTCCAAGAGCGACGTAGGCATCCTAGAAGCCAGAGACGGCCTGCTAATGCAGTTAGTTCTCCGAGCCTTCGCTCCCCTTCCGCTGAGCCATCTCTTAACCAGAACTCCCGGTTTTGTCGGGCTCAAGGAAGGGCGGACGCCCGGGCGCAGGGAGGCGGCACCACGCGAGGGGAGGCGCCGGCCAGGTCCCCCCGCTCACAGGCGTGCGCACGGTCTACACGGACCACCCCTGCGGAGACTCTCGTAGAGGTGCGCGGGGCCCGGCTTCACGCGGCCCCAACGCGAAACCCGGCAGGAAGGAGACACTGGAGCCCCCCCGGGCGGCGGCGGGACGGGGCGGGGCGGGGCGGGGCGGGGCCGGCGGGGCGGGGCGGGGCGGGGCCGGCGGGGGCCGCGAGCGGGAGCCGGAAGGGCGGGCTCCAGCGGCCGCGTCGAGCGCCGGGGGCGGGGCCGAGCCGAGCCGAGCCGAGGCGGGGCTGGCAGGGGCGGGGCCGACCGAGGCGGGGCCGACCGAGGCGGGGCCGGGGGCGGGGCCGGGGGCGGGGCCGGGGCGGGCCGCGGAGCGCCGGCTCCACCCGCCCGAGGGCTCGCAGGCACCTGGCGGGGCGCGGATGGCTGCTTCCCCACACGTGGAAAACTCTTAATGAACACGTGAGGGAAGGGAGGCAATGTCTGCGGAAAATCTACCTCACAGCCCTGGCGTCCGACTCCAGCCCTGGGCGGCAGCTTGTTTGCTGCGTTCCCGCTGGGGGAGTGGAAGGGTGTGTGCGTCCACGTCCCCTCCCATTGGTGCCCCCCGCCCCAGCCGCACGCTCCCGGCCAAGCTCTCAGGCAGTCCCGGCCTCGGGAGGCGGCCAGGCAGGCCGTGTGCGCCTGCGCCCTGCGCCCTGCGCCTCGCGGCGGGGTGGGGGTGGGGCGGGGTCGCCGAGGAAAGGGGCGTGTCTCCCGCCGCCGCGCACGGGGCGGAGCCGCGGGGGCGGGGCGGGGCGGTCCGGTCCGGCGCCCAGCGGCCTGACCTCCCTGAACGCCGGGTCCCGTGACGTCACCTCGCCGTGACGCGCACGCTGTAGGAAAACTGTAAGTTTCTGAGGATTCCTGCAGCTCCCGGGGCCTGCGGGCTCGCCCTGCTGCCCGCCTTCGCCGCGTCGGTGGTGGCTGCGGGCGTGTGATCCTGGGCGATCGGGGCGCCGCCGAACGCGGTGAAGGGACCGGTGCCCGCCCCGGCGGGAGCGCGCCCTCTGCGGCGGGCGGGCCCGGGGGTGCGAGGAGGCGAGGCCGCGCTGCGCGGACTGGTCGCCAGGGCCCGGCGAGCCGACCGGGAGGAACGGGGAAGGTCCACGTGGGAGCGGCCCCCCGCTTTCCCTTCCTTGGTGAAGGGGCTTGGATTGACATGTGAAGTCTGGCCTAGGGGGTTGCACCAGGGACTCCGCATCTAGGCTTCCTTTGGGATCCTGCAAGTTGTAAAGATAACCACCTGCTGCCTCAGTTTCCTCTTTGTGTCAAACGGAGGTGAAGCAGCCTCTGGCCTCATTATCACTTGCAAAGGACGGGGACATTGTGGGAGCACGCGAGGTAGCACAAACATGTAAACGTGCCAGGTGAAAGCAAGCCCAGAAAGACCTCCGTTCTTCTGGGATGTGGTGGCCAGTGGCCAACGGCCATTTAACCAAGGTCTGCGGGTAGGGATCTTTTTCACAGTTTTGCCTCCTCAACCCTCACGCACCCACCCACGCGTCTGGCCAGGGGCAACACTGGAGTCTGATGGGCCATCTTAGTGGCCTAGGGAGCGACCACTATGTTCTTGGCGATTATCAGGTTCCCTTGGCGGAGTTGGTCAGAGGAAGGGCTCAGCATGCCGGAACTCGTACGTTGCACTCAACACGATACACCGAGTTTTAGAGGTCGTTGCTGCGTGGACTTGGGACGTGTGACTGTTATCTGTGACTTTGAATGTTTTGGCTTGCCCAGGGTTAGTATGTTATTGACGAGTTAGTACTATACTACTCAAATGTAGAGGTAAGTGTTTGTTAGGAACTTTGAAGGGAAGACCATTATACACATCTCAGGGAGTCCTTATTCTAGAGGTCGAGAGATCACATTTCTGTAAATTCAGTTTATCTTTCTTTGAGAAGCCTTAGCATTAGAAAGCAGGGGTGCTGATTTTGGTTCTACCACTTAATAGCTTTGTGTCCAGAGACAAGTCACCCAAATTTGGGATTTTCTTTTTCTATCTAAAATGGGAGATGATAGTGTACATGCTGTTGCTTTTTCAAGGATCAGATGAGATCACAATGTAAGAATGAAAGGCCGAGTATGGTATTGTTATTAAGAAATTCCCATAGGTCTCCTAGCCTGGATAAGAGGTGTGTTTATTCAGAAGTCAGGTTCTAAGTCAGAACTGGGAATGGAGCAGCAAACAAGGTTGTCCCTAACCTGGTGGAGCTTATTTTCTAGTGGGGAAATAGGCTACAAAGAATAAGTACATAATATTATTCAGGATAGTGATTTAAGTACAGGGAGGCAAAGCAAGATAAAAGAATGACAACAGGGGAATGGGGCAGGTTGTTTTAGATAGTAGGATCAGTCATGGAAGGCCTTCCAAAAGAGGGGACAGTTGAATGAATTCAAGTTGAGAGGAAGAGCCTGAGCTAAGAACATTTCAGGCAAGGTTCCTAAGAGCAATCAGCACTTAGATGGACCTTACTATATGCGAGGCAGTCTTCTAAACACTAAATTTTTACACCAGCTTTATGAGGTAAGTAGTAATATCTCCATTTTTGTAGAAGAAGAAACTGACACAGATAGCTTTGCTCAAGGTTGTACAGCTGAAATGTGACAGAGACACTATTCGAATTAGGGCAATCTGACTGCAGAGTCCTGCTCCAGATGACAATCCTATACAGCAAGGAGCAGCCCAGGAGCAATGGTCTGATGGAGGAAGCTAGCCTGAGGTGGCCAAGGCCTAGCAGGGTGAGTGTTTAGATCATAGCAAGGGAAAGTGGGGGCAGATGATGTTGGAGGACCAGGCTGGACTTTGGGGGCCCTTGTAGGCTAGTAGTAAAGATGTTATTCTAGGTGTGATAGAAAACCATTGGAAGGTTTGTATCAAGGAAATAGCACCTGATTTTGGTTTTGTTGGTTGAAGAATTAACTGTAAGGTCATGGAGTAGGGGGTTCTCAGAAATGGGAAGCTAGGAGCCTGGAAGACAGATGCTGTTGTCTTGGCTTAGGAGAAATAGTTGTAGAGATGATACCAAGAGGTCAAATTCCTGATACACTTTTTGAGGGCAGAGTTGTTGGGGTGGATTTACTAATCTGGAATGTGAGGAAAAGGAAAAGTCATGACTTCTTAGGTTTTAGCCTAGAACAACTGGGAGAACAATATTGCTATTGACTGAGCAAGGAGAAAGGGGTTTGGTGAGAAAATCATGAATTCTGTTTCAGGCCAGTTTTAGACACCTTGTAGACGTAGGAACCATAATACTAGAGCTAGTAATAATAGTAAGTGCCTTGTAGGCATAAACTGTACTAGGAAGGGTTTTAAGCACTTTTATGTGTATTAATTAATTTAATCCTTATAGTAGTTGTATGTGCTAGGGGCCATTATAGTTCTAATTTTGCAGATGAGAACACAGAGGCATGGAGAAGTTAAAATTGTGACTTGTCTAAAATCACCTAGCTTGCGAGTGACCGAGCCAGGATTCAAAACCCAGCAGTCTGAAGTCTACACAGTCAATGTCTGTAACTACCTGTAAGTCAGTTTGTTGAGCAAGGCAGTTGAATATATGAATTTGGAACTCAGGGAAATGGTCAGAAATGGAAACTCAACATTTATATTTCTGAAGAGAAAGCCTGTTTTGTTCCTCATCTAAGCCTTGGTTGGCGATGGAGGAGAAGAACATAGGCAGTTGGGCTGTGCGGACTGGACTTTCATTACTTTGATTCAGTTCACAGAGCCAATATCCGGCATCCCCCTTCCAGGAAGTTCTGTGAGGGTGAGGTCTGTATCTTTTTTATTCACTGTCTCTACTTCCTGACCCAGTGCCTGCCATGTGGTAGCTGTTAGTCTGGCTTTATATGCAAGGCATTTGATTAAGTTTTGGGAGTTCAGAGATGAATAAAACATAGCACTCTCCTTGGAGGAGCAGAGTTTGAGGAAAACCCTGTGGAAATAAAACCAGAGCAGACCAAATGCATAAGTGCATCCTGATCCTTTCATTTGGGTCTTCTGCAAGCCCCCTCCACTCCATATACTTGAGGGATGGGGCATGAAGGGGTCAAAGAAACAAAAAAATTGCCTAAGGAATTGTGCAGTGAATTTGAGGCTCCCCAAGAGTCCTCTTCAACAAAAGAATTACTCCTAATCTTGCATATTTTACTATATTTGCATTATCTTTGTTTGGCAATGGTATAATTTTTACCAAATGAAATAAATTCTGACATTTTAGTATTGTTGTGGAGTGATGAGTTTTTCCAGTTGTATTACGTCAGTGTTGACAGGGTTTACTAGTGAAATAAGAGAGTTGGCTTGAAATGTTGCAGCTTGCATAATAGAGGGTGATGGAAGGGCTGTGTGAGGTATTTAGGCAGGTTTCCACTGACTTAAGTATATCACGCCAAAGTTCCACACATCAGAGTAAGTTTCAGTTTCTCTGCTGATCATCTCCTTAACTTTGATTGATATATGTATGTGTGTGTATATATATATATATATATATATATATATATATATTTTGGTCATAGAAAGGTGATCTGGTGGTATATGTTATAGATGGAATTATAGATTACATCTCATATTTGGAGCACTGTAGAACATAGAAACCAGAGCAATATGCACAAAAGCGTGTGTCTTATTTCTGTAGGTCTTTTGAAGGATATACCCTAACATCAATACATTTGTCACAATTTTATTGCTTCCTAACATGAGTATTTCAAGTTTGAACCATTAAAAGATTATGTAAAATTACACCATTTTAGATTTTGTGATTAATTTCAGCGTTTTTTTCTTGCAATATATAAATTAAATATATTTTATAAATTATATTTTGTTTAGCATTTTTAGCTTTGGGAGAGTTGATATGAATAACCAACTCCATCATCACTCTAAATGGGAACCCTCCACAAATATAAATGTAGAAATGTGCCATCTCATTTTGCAGTTCAACAAAACTTTAAATCTACTACTGTGGCTAACTCTAAATTTAATGGGGTTGAAATGATTAGTATTTCTTTATACCACAATTGCAGCTAGCTTTCCCAGGAATATCAGATATGCATATGTGGTATAAAGTATCTGGAAGGAGCTGCTGATTGCTCAGGCTTTGTCATTTTTTAAGTTTAGGCTTAGTGAGGGCATGTTGATCATGATTTAATTGTGCTAGATAGCCCCCAGCAGGGCAGGCATAATAATAAGTCTTCCTATTTGAAGACAGGATCCCCACTGACCATCCTAGAGAATGTATCCAAATTCTTTTAAGAATCTCTATTTACACGAGTGAATTTAGAAACTATTAGTTAAGAGTACAAAAACGTAAGTATATGGAAATTGTTTCTTGTAGAAAATTATTGTGTCTAGCCCAGTGATGACATGTAGTGGGCACTAAATATTTTTTAATATTTAAATTTCGTGTATTTTTTAAAAAAAATTTTGCATATTACCTTCAACTCATATATGTGTCTGTATGTGTATACATATATGTATATATATTTTGTGTGTATGTGTGTATATATATGTATATACATTAGGTGTATATATTTATGTAACATACACATATAGACACTGTGTATTTGCAGTAATAGCTGAATATTTGTATACCTCTGCTTAGCATTGTAACTGAATATATTTAAATAATGTAAACAGTTAAGTGTCACTTAAATTTGATTCATTTGATACATAGCTACTTAGAAATTAAGATCTTGAGGTTTGATTTTTTTCCCCACAAAAACAGTAATGACTACTAATTAGTAAGCATGAGTGGAGACTAAGCTTTAGTGACAGATTAACCAAGTTGTCAACCCAAAAGAACATGCAAGAAGAAAATTCTTAGAGAGGATTAAGCAAAAATGGCATGTTGATAGAAGGAATAATTTAACCATAATTCCCTACCACAGCTATAATTCTTAAGGTATTACTGTCCTAGAGATAGCATTCTTTTCTTTGGTTCTTACACTGCAAAAGTGCTAGTTTGAAGCTGCATTCTGGATAAATGAGATAAATACTGGAATATATGGAATATATGGAACTATGGATTTAGCTCAGTGGATTTCCACTGGGGATGATTCTGTTCCTCCCTACCTCATTCTGAGGACATTTGGCAAATGTCTAGAGACATTTTTCATTGTCACAACTATGTGTGAGGGCATTGCACCTGTCATGCAGTTGGTGGAGGCCAGGACTGCTCTTAAATATCCTGCAAGGCACAGGACAACCCAAACAATAAAAAATTATCCAATTCAAAAAGGAAATTATCCAGTTCAAAATGCCAGTACTGCTGATGTTGAGAAACCCTGTAATATGTAACTATTTTCCTTTCTTCCTTAATTTTTTTTGTTTGCTTTTATTTGATGCTTTAGAGATTGAGGTGGTAGTTGTAAGTAGCAAACACCCGACTTAAACAAAAGATTGCATTGAACTTTTAGTTTGTTGGAGAGCTGAGGTAATGTGGTCCATTTATTGTAAGGAAAATAATTTTTGTAGCTATTAGCTACAATGTTGAATTTTTTTGCCTGCCAATATGTGTAGTGTTTCTGGTTTGTATTTAGCTATGAATTTCTTTTCTTAGTAAAACTAATTTAGTTTGGGCATTATACAGTCCTGGGTTGTAATAGGTTTGCTGGTATGAATCACCTTCATGTATTGAATTAACTATCTCACAGTTATGTGGTTGCTTATATATTTCAGAAATCCTGTCATGTGAATTTTTATATGTGATTTTCATGAACACCTCATGAAATGTGTAGGGCCTGCATTACCCTCACTATTTGCCAGATGAGGAAACAGACTTAGATCAAATAGT